TTAGATTCCATCGTAGATGGAAGATTTATGATGATAGGGCTGATTATCTAACATTCACGATTTTACGTAACCGTTGTATAGTGAACGCTTCGCTGGGGGTTAACCCTGTTCGCGTCCCATTTAAATAAATAAAATAAATAAATAAGATACTACTAATCAGAGTGCATATAAATCTTTAGGCGTTACCAAAACCACACCATATATATAAGAGAAACACACTGGAAAGGTTTCCCCTGCACCCAAGCCAGCATACATACACTCTGGGAAGATCAACAGAAACTGCCCTACAAGATATCGTAGGAGTTATCGACAGATCTTTGGACTATAAAGAGTCCACTCTCGGAGTATTTATAGATATCGAAGGAGCCTTTGACAAAACAGCTTTCCATACAATTAATAAAGCCCTTAGAGACAAAGGAGTCCAGCCTGCACTAGCGAACTGGATTCTAAATATGCTCCCAAAAAGGGCCATCCATAGTGTAATTGACACTACTAGTAATAATAATAATAATAAAGATAACAAGATAAGAGCGACCGTTGAACGAGGATGTCCGCAAGGTGGGGTTCTATCGGCACTTACGGCGCCGTAAACTGGTGGCCAAGAGTTAGAAATAAAACGATTGTTTTGCAACTACAAAAATTGCAACGTTTGGCTTGTCTTTACATTACAGGCTTGATGATAACCACACCAACAGTAGCAGTGGAGAATGTACTGGTGGTGATAGCAACAATGATTCGGCTGCGAGCGGCTAATGACAAATGGCTATATAAATGTGGAAAATCGACTAACCAGCTATGGGAGGAGCCATGTAGCAAACAACCGCTCCTGAATGGCAGAGTAGATACGGTTCCAACGCGTTTTATCTTCGAACGACCGTATGAAATAAAGGTAGGAGAACAATCCAGGCCTGACGAAACTGCCCTCCAATTATGGGTGGACGGATCTCGTAGGGAAACTGGCTCTGGTACTTCGATTTATTCCGTCGAACCAACAATAAAAATTTCTGAACCGCTGGGAATTTGGCCCATCGCGCTCCAAGCGGAGCTGGTGGCCATTTCTCTGGCGGCCGAGGAAATTTCCAAGAAAATTAGTAACAAAAAAATTATAATATATTCTGATTGCAGACAAGCCCTCCACAACCAGGACAAATTCTAGCCTTTGCCTCCAAGGTAATATGGCTGGAGGGAGATAAGTACAGGGGATCTGCTGAGGCCAAAGTGCTGCGGGCGGTTCAGCCTGCCTTCCCGCGAATCCAGATCCAGGCTTGCCGAGAATCAGATGGTACTACAAAGAAGTATCACGTGTCCGAACAGAGAAAAGTCATGTGTACGGATACACGTTTTGGGACAACGTTGACAACAGCCAGTGCTCCAGAACAAAGTGCGAGGTGCTATGAAGGCGAGGCGAATAAACTGACTCCGACGAATGTAACTCGTCAGAATTACGACACCACGGTGTACACCGTCGAGTCAGGGGACACTATCTTTGCCATGCCGACCGCCCGACCGATGATGATCTGCGGATAGACCGCATATGAGACGGATCATCCACGGTTCTTCATAATCAAACCATTGTAGAACGGGTTATTTCACTTTTCGAAAACTAAAGTAAACCTGTTCAACATGGACCCGACGACATACGTCAACACGAAAATCGTCTTCGTGGATCGCCATCTGCAGCGACATCTGACATCACTTTACGCCGATGTTATCGTGCAGAGATGTACCCCCGAACAACAGGTGCTGAGGAATCTGCAAACCCTCGCAGTTACAGCACCGATTGAGTTCGCTTACGTCAAGATGAAACAGCCAGGGTACGTGGCGGTGAACCACGGAGAAGTGGTTCATGTGTATATAATAGAATATACTCCCAGGAAGATATGGAAGACCTACGACAACACATCATCATCCCAACACAGAGGAAGGCAGTCTAATATCCTCACGGAGACGGTGATGAGGGCTACGTTGGACCATCAGGGAACAAATATCGCTCCCTTCATCTCCGATCACACAATAAAAGAATGGGTCCAGGGACAATGGGACGCCTTCTGGAATTGGTTTCCATATCTAGGATCCTTAACAGGAGGCTGTCTCGCGGTGTTCTTCGTTGTGCGCGCACTAAAGTTCGTGCGACTAATCGGAGCCGTATGGGACAGTGTAACAATGTTCTGCGTACATTCGCACGCGTTGAGGCATCGGGACCGCCAATTAGCGAGTGCTAGTGCGGGTGTTAGTGTGGCAGAAATAACTCTAATGGCGCATGCCAGTGAGCAGACGGTAACAGCGGAAGAAGTGGCGGAGGCGCCACAACCCAGCCTTTACCTTGCAGTGCCCAAGATCCTACACTACCATCTCAGTGGGCCGAAATACAGCGAGGAACATTAAGTTCCTGAGGGGAGTAATGAGCTGGTAACTGAGCTTAACCGCGACTATCAGGGTGCTACATTATCACCAGACTTGAAGAAGCGTGCCATTGCTCTTGCCGACGACCTGCTCATTATGGAAGATCGCGATATTGACGTCCCACCAGCACTAGATAGGACGGTCAGGTTCTTCCGATCCCGGGGCATGGAACTAAATCCCGATAAGTGCACCAGCGTCTCTGCCATTACCAGCTACGGCAAGAGCGTGCTTCGGTCCAAGCCAATCTTCAGTATCGGAAATACTAAAATTCCGATCTTGGCGGACCTGAACACCATGAAGTACCTGGGCCTTAAGTTCTCTGCTAACGGGGCCGAGAAGCCAACGATCTTCAATCTTGTCAATTGGCTCAAGAACCTCCAGAGAGCTCCATTAAAGCCAGACCAGAAGCTCACAATATTGAAACAACACCTGCTTCTTTTAGATTCAGTCAGATTCTTTTACTCAGTGCAATCACCTCTCATTAACGGCAACATGCTTTCGGAAGCGGACAGGCTCACCAGGCGCTTTGTCAAACAGAGCTTGCACCTGTCGTCTAAGACAGGATCACAATTTATCCACGCTGCCAGACTAGTTGCAGCTGCAGTTTGCCAACTAAGACACTTAATTCCTAACATCCTCCTGCGCAGACTTGGTGGTCTTATGAACGGGAACGATAGTTTATAGAAAGAACAAGGAGTAGCAGCCAGCCGTAGTTATAGGTAAACATGAAAGTCCAAGATCATACTTAAACACAGGACTGAATGTACTAAGAAGGAATAGTCAAGTCTTGAGAAAATCAGTAACTGACAGACAACTACCTACAAATATAGAAGAGAGTACGATTCCTCTTGCTCTTCCAAAGGACGTTGATTCTAATCATGATAATAATAAGTTAGGTGATAAAGTAGAAAATGCTATTGTACCTTTAATTTCAAATAATGAACAACCAATTGTTAATCTAAAAACTAAATTTAACGATTATGTGATGTATTAACTTGATAGGGGAGGTGTCATAAAGATGTACGACAAGTTGCATAAGTATTGCATGACAAGCAACTTGTGTGTGTACTAGCTGTAAAAGATCTGTAGAGTTAATAGTTAATAAAGATATATTTATAATTGTGCGACTCATTATTATAACAAAGATATAATTAATTCAATCAATTTGATTGTTAATTTCCATTAAATTTAATCGCTATGAACCGGTTAATGTTAGAGAAAAGATGGAGCGGTTTTATTTTTGAATGAAAAAATGAGTCTAGTGAAGTGAGTGTATTTTTGAAATCCCTTTACGTTTTCTTTTTTTTTGCGATTGTGAGGATTATTTGTATTTCTTGTATCATTATTTATAGGTATAGGCACACAATATTTTCACTTTTGTATCGCTTGCGATTGCACTTAACACTACTGTTTATAAACTATTCTATTTTTTATTAATATTTTTTCACATATTTCTGTGGTTAAGTTATATATTGTGCTTAATATTGGGTTATATTATGTGCTGTCAGTTCTGATTTTCACGCATGGTCGGTTTATGTGGCCTGACTGTTGCTCATCTCAATGTTCGCTCGCTGCCTTATTGTAAAGAATGATTTTACTATTTTTGCTGTGTCGGAGAGCTGTTTTTCAGCAAACATATCTGATCGTGCCGGTAGAGGAGGGGGGGTAGCAATTTATATTGCGGATGGATTGAAAACAAGTGTATTGGACTATAGTAATTCAATTGAACAATGCTGGATATCTTTTTCTTTCAATAAATAAAAAATTTGTTTAGGTGTATGTTATAGGTCCGAAATCTACAATAAAAGATACTTTATGGAATAATACTCTTTATTACTAGCAGTAGAAATTCCAATTTTGAAATGATAATGTAGGTCGGTAAAAGTCCAACCAGCTGCCAAATATCACGTGCTAGCTTTAACAAGGAAATTAATATCATCAGGCTGGGCTTTGATAATGGTTACTCCCTTCAGGAGCTTCAAAATTTATTTTTTCGGATTCATCAAGCTGGAATTAATAATCTCATCTATCCTCACTTTTCCAACCCCGGCGTTTTTGTCTCCATACCTTTTCACCCTTCAATCCAAAAACAATTTTCCGATATTTTCAATGGTTTAATGTCACACCGGTATACCGTGCCAATGCTAAATTATGCCAATTATTAACTAATAACAAACACATATTCGAAGATAAACTTAAAAGTGGTATTTACAAACTTAACTGTAACGATTGCGACTCTTTTTACATAGGACAAACTGGAAGGAATATCAGTACTAGATTCAAGGAACACTTAAATAAAGAAAATTCTACTTTTTATAAACATTTAAAAGAACATAATCATAAAACTGATATATCCAAAATTAAACTTCTAAAACATCTTAATAAATCCAGAAAATGGACCTATTTGAAGAATACTATATAAAATCATACCACATTAAAAACCCTGAACATATTTTGAATGAAATTACTGATTTTAACAATTATAATAGATATTTTACACCTTTCATATAATTTCAAACTTGCCGCTCTTGCATTTAGTTTGTCACATCTTGATACCAATTTTTCATTTTCTTAAGTTGTCATGTACTAGTCGATATGTGCACACGACTCTAGTTTTTCGGTAAACACTTAACGTTATAATACTTTTTCAATAATATTAATACCCTTTTCTTTTAGATTTTTAACGCTAAATTCTTTTTATAACACGCCTTCAGCCTTTACAGTTTATTACGCCTGCCTTCAGCATTTCAAAAAACATTTTTTAACCTATCACCCGACGTTGGAGTTTTTAACCTGACATGGTAAACCCACGCCGTTTTCAAACATTTCACTTAATTCTTTAATCCATAATTTTATATTTAATCATCGGTCCGTCGTAGTTTTCGTAAGAGAAATTTTCCACATAATCATTTTTTCACGTGTTCATCATTCTTAGTTTTTGACGGTAAGATCTTCTTATAATTTTAATTTTATATCACCAACAAAAAAAAACCGTCAACTAGTAATAATTATCTTCCATATTATTCTAGTCGTACCTGAAGACGCTTTTAGAAAAAGCGAAACATTGTTGTACCGAAATTAGAAAAATAAAAAAATCATCGTGGATTTATTCTTTTTTATCCTATTAATACTCACCATGATGAACCTGGAGGCTACAATTGCCAAGAAGACATAGAGTCCACCATGCCTAATCTTTTTCGTGAATTTCTAGACGAAAAAAAATGTAAAAGAATAGAGCGTTGTGCAAAACTCGAACAAGCAGATCCTTTGCAAGAATTTTTTAAAGTATGAGCAGGACTATCAGCACTTTCCCATCTTTGTGGCAAACAGAAGTTAAACGTAAAGTTTTTGATATTGTAAATACCACTGAAGAACTCCTGCTATCAACAAATAATAGTGCCGTGCCATCTACACTGGCTTTGTCATCAACATTGCAGCCAATTTTTCATAATTCGCATCCAGCTCAAACATCTACGCACGTTAATACCAACATTACATCCATTGCAACTACTGCGTCTTATAATACAAATAGCTCTATTCAAGAATAGAGGAGAATTAAAATGAATATGTATAGATGTTTAGTTTTATAAGCAAATATTAGTTTTATTTAAAACGTTTTTCTTTAATAAAAAATACTTATACGAGGATAAAAAAATTATTTACTTACCTGACAAAAACTGTCAATCTTTCATACAGTCCAATACTCTGCCTAAATTTTGTATTTTGTTTAGTTAGCGGTACATTTAAAATTTCAATCAGCTCATTAAATTTTGCTGGCGTCATTCTAAAATATTTATAAAATTTGACTTCATCATCTTGTAATTTTCTGATCAGAGTGTGAAATTCTCCTTCTTGTAGCCTTGATCTAAATACCTGGTGAACCCAGTACTTTTTTTCCGACCTTTTTCTCTTTAATTTTCCATACTCGTAACACATAGCTAACATGAATACGTCATCATCACTACTTGATGAAGAGCTATACATTTTTAAGAACAAAATGTTTTTCACTCTATAGCGAACAAATGTCAACTGTGATCTGATTCGAAAAAGCGTGTAGTATCGCGCGGTTTCTTGTCGCATATATCAGAATACCTACTGACGTTACGACATTTTGCGTCGTTGGGTCGCGTCGCGTCGCGTAGCTGAGTGTAGCGCAAGTGAGAATCGACCTTAACGTAAGCAACTTTGGAATTGCGTTCGAGGAGGAAAGGAGGTTCTTAAATCGGCAAATTTTTTGTGGGGATTCGTTCGAAGGGAGTTATGCTGTTATGATAAGATAACGCCAACTAACGTAAGCAACTTCGGAATTATTTTTGCATAACATTCTTTAATCATTTTACTGATACAATTTTAATTCCCACCTAGTAACAATGGCATTGACCTTGAGTATGATGAGAAGGAGGTTTATTAACTGGAGCAGTTCATGTTATTTTGAAGAGAGTAGGCACTCGATGCATCCTCCTTCTCCTCCCAATAAGTTTCAGGAGGGGTGAGGGTTTATAAACGCCGGCGAAATGTGGTATTGACGTAGTTCTTTCGTAACATATAGAAGTGTACAACGTTAAATTGTAAAATGTTAGTGTGTGAAGATTGTGAAAAAAGTTTTACTTGACCTGACAATTTAAAAAGACATCAACAGATAATTATCTTGCATTGGCAAGCGAATCAAGCTTAACGTACCGCAAATATCAAAAGCAGTTAAATGTGACGTTTGTGATGAGTACATAAACAAGCAATGTTACTCTGCACATTTACGAAGCAACACACATAAGAGTAACGCCTTTATTATAATCGACGACGGAGTGAAGAGAATAGCTGGAGCATTTGGCGATAAAATCGTTAGTTATCGAGTAACTTGTCGGCGAACGACAATAGATGGCGTACGGAAAGGCGATTTAAGAACAGGAAGAAGTCGGTTTGCATTATCGGAAGAAGAAGGGCGTGTGAGATGTGTCGGATAGACTAAAGAATAGAGGTCGTTTTGTTTAATAACCCATATTCTTTTTTTTGTTCTAAAACCGATATATACATTTCCTGAGACTAAAACTGACTTTAATTTAATGAATAACCAACTGAAGGTTTTTTTTTATCGATTTGAATGAATTTTCGCATAGAATTCGAGAAAAAATACTAAATCTGGCACAAACCGCAATCGATATTTACCAAAGTGTAAATGTCAGAATTCCAGGAACGAGATTCAGGTAAGCGTAATGAGACATAATATATTCATTAAAAAGATAAATGTTTAAATATTATTTTATTTAGGGTGGACTTGAACTTTAACGCAAACGATCTATATGGAGTTAAATTTAAAGAAATATAATCCTATGAGAGCATCTAATTATATCGATCTACCGCCGCAAATAAAAGCAAAACGTGCTGTGATAAATATACAAAACGCCGATGATGCATGCGTTGCATGGGCCGTAACATCCGCACTATATGAACCGAACGGTTTACCACAGAGGACATCTTCGTATCCGAATTACCTGAACTGTGGCTTGGATATTCTAATATTGTTTTTCCAGTTAAATTACGAGATATACCTGTATTTGAAAAGCAGAACAAACTATCTATTAATGTATATGGAACAAATGACTATTTTAAAGAGAAGTTATGAATTGTAGCATAATAACAATGCATATATGGCGACTAAAAGGAAAGAGACATGTAAATTTATTATTAATTATAAATGATCTCGGGAATAGTCACTATTGTTGGATAAAAAATCTGTCTCGATTACTATCATCAACGCAGCCGTCCGACTTTTAACATTTATATAAAGTTAAAGAAAAAAAAAAAGGATTTAGAATCCATCCCGAAGTCGCTTGGTATCCTTCTGATGTGCCCTTANTATATCACAAACAAAAAAAACCGTCAACTAGTAATAATTATCTTCCATATTATTGTAGTCGTACCTGAAGACGCTTTTAGAAAAAGCGAAACATTGTTGTACCGAAATTAGAAAAATAAAAAAATCATCGTGGATTTATTCTTTTTTATCCTATTAATACTCAAGATGATGAACCTGGAGGCTACAATTGCCAAGAAGACATAGAGTCCACCATGCCTAATCTTTTTCGTGAATTTCTAGACGAAAAAAAAATCTAAAAGAATAGAGCGTAGTGCAAAACTCGAACAAGCAGATCCTTTGCAAGAATTTTTTAAATGTATGAGCAGGACTATCAGCACTTTCCCATCTTTGTGGCAAACAGAAGTTAAACGTAGAGTTTTTGATATTGTAAATACCACTGAAGAACTCCTGCTATCAACAAATAATAGTGCCGTGCCATCTACACTGGCTTCGTCATCAACATTGCAGCCAATTTGTCATAATTCGCATCCAGCTCAAACATCTACGCACGTTAATACCAACATAACATCCATTGCAACTACTGCGTCTTATAATACAAATAGCTCTATTCAAGAATAGAGGAGAATTAAAATGAATATGTAATATGTATAGATGTATAAGCAAATATTAGTTTTATTTAAAACGTTTTTCTTTAATAAAAAATACTTATACGAGGATAAAAAAATTATTTACTTACCTGACAAAAACTGTCAATCTTTCATACAGTCCAATACTCTGCCTAAATTTTGTATTTTGTTTAGTTAGCGGTACATTTAAAATTTCAATCAGCTGATTAAATTTTGCTGGCGTCATCCTAAAATATTTATAAAATTTGACTTTATCATCTTGTAATTTTCTGATCAGAGTGTGAAATTCTCCTTCTTGTAGCCTTGATCTAAATATGTGGTGAACCCAGTACTTTTTTTCCGACCTTTTTCTCTTTAATTTTCCATACTCGTAACACATAGCTAACATGAATACGTCAACATCACTACTTGATGAAGAGCTATACATTTTTAAGAACAAAATGTTTTTCACTCTATAGCGAACAAATGTCAACTGTGATCTGATTCGAAAAAGCATGTAGTATCGCGCGGTTTCTTGTCGCATATATCAGAATACCTACTGACGTTACGACATTTTGCGTCGTTGGGTCGCGTCGCGTCGCATAGCTGAGTGTAGCGCAAGTGAGAATCGACCTTAACGTAAGCAACTTTGGAATTGCGTTCGAGGAGGAAAGGAGGTTCTTAAATCGGCAAATTTTTTGTGGGGATTCGTTCGAAGGGAGTTATGCTGTTATGATAAGATAACGCCAACTAACGTAAGCATCTTCGGAATTATTTTTGCATAACATTCTTTAATCATTTTACTGATACAATTTTAATTCCCACCTAGTAACAATGGCATTGACCTTGAGTATGATGAGAAGGAGGTTTATTAACTGGAGCAGTTCATGTTATTTTGAAGAGAGTAGGCACTCGATGCATCCTCCTTCTCCTCCCAATAAGTTTCAGGAGGGGTGAGGGTTTATAAACGCCGGCGAAATGTGGTATTGACGTAGTTCTTTCGTAACATATAGAAGTGTACAACGTTAAATTGTAAAATGTTAGTGTGTGAAGATTGTGAAAAAAGTTTTACTTGATCTGACAATTTAAAAAGACATCAACAGATAATTATCTTGCATTGGCAAGCGAATCAAGCTTAACGTACCGCAAATATCAAAAGCAGTTAAATGTGACGTTTGTGATGAGTACATAAACAAGCAATGTTACTCTGCACATTTACGAAGCAACACACATAAGAGTAACGCCTTTATTATAATCGACGACGGA